CCCCAGGCTATATCACCACAAGTTATATAACCTTATCACTTTACAATATAACCAGTCAAAAATCTATATAACTTAATATGTTTTATAGTTTTTATCATAAATGTAAACTGAAAAGGGTGGCCTTGTGGTTAAGGTATCTGCCTCTCAACACAGATCATGGGTTCAAGCCCTAATGGGGTCTCAACCTGTTTCTTCATATGACACCAGCACTGGTTGGTTCCAGGAAGCAGACTCGAAAGTGATTAATATAAGTTGCAAGACTTTGTTTCACAGTCAAGCTTAATAAATGAGCCGCGCCATGACAAAACCAACATGCGTTTGTGACCAGCATGCGCATCTGCGCAGTCTGATCAGGATCCATGCTGTTTGCTATCAGTTTCTCTACTTGTAATAGGGTTTGTAAGTAAAAAAAGGTTACCAGACAGATTTATCATTAAATCAGACTATGATACCAGATGTAGAATAAATTTCTGCAGAAAAGAAAAGACTTCTAATTAATTTTTTATGTAATATTTAAGTTATTATTTTACAGTACAAACAGGCCCTTCGTAATTATGAAAATACCACCACAGTATTATATAACAATTTATGTGAAAATCACTGTCAGAGTGTCACCTTCTATGAGATTCTTTCACAATTTTATTTCCACTTGTTAGATTTGAAATGGTCACAGACATTCGGCACATTTGCCATGCCAATTTTGGTCAAATTATAATAAAATAATTAACCCGAGGGTGCTGGTAAGTAATTTTGTTCTTGATGACCAAGGGGTGATTATTTTATGATAATTTGACCATTATTTGCTTGGCAAATGTGCTTAATGCCTGTGCCCTTGCTTACATTTCCACTGAATTTGAATGACATACTTTACATGCCCTTAAAGGTGTTTCAATATTACCTGAAACAGTCTTAGATCAAGAAGCTGGGCATCCGTGGCTGATTGATTAAGTTTGTTGATTTAAGGAAATTGTATCTCACCACTGTGGGTTTGAATCCTTCCAAGGAATTTGAACTCTTTCATGTAAGGAAGCTATTCAGGTAGCTTACGGAACATTTGGAGGTTTCGCTCAGGTGCCTGTTCCTGTCTGAAATAATTTACTGGGAGGGGTCTTCCTTCACTATTTCAATCTGGATAATATTTTGTTTTTTGTTTGTTTCATTTTACACGTTTTCCCAACAGTATTTCAGTCATATAGTCGGGTAGTTTCCTAACCGTTATTCCTGGAGAGTACACCAGTACTAGACTACCTTCCTAGTTTAGCGCGGAGGAAGGTAATCTAGTACTGGTGTAAAATCTCCAGAAAAGATGGTTTGGAAACTTCCAGCCTATATGACTGAAATACTGTTGGGAAAAGGCGTAAAATCAAACAAACAAACAAAATATTATCCAGATTGAAAGATGGGCAAGTCCATTTAAGATGTTTTAAGCAAGGTAGATGGTTAATAGATAAAAAGCAAATACATTAGGGGAAAGAATGTTCACCTACAATGATAAAATGTTCTATTAAACCAGAAAAAAGACAAAAGTCTTGTCACATTTGGTATACTAATAGGTAAAGTCAATTAGCATTACTAATTATAATAGACAATGTAATCAGGTAAAATGGAACATTTGTTGTTTAGAAATAAATCATAGTGTCACATTGTTTTTGACTGAACAGAAGTAGGTGATGATGACTGGTCAACTTAACATAGAAAGTTTACAGTTATAGGCCAGCCTGCCTGTACTTTTGATTGCTAATCTTTATTATTTTGATTAACCCTGACAATGCCAGGGGGGGGGGGGGGTGGAGGTCTGCGTTTTGTAAATGGCTCCTTGCCTTGTCGATCTTTGTTCTCAGGGTTTTGATTGCTTATCTTTATTATTTTGATTAACCCTGACTGATTAATGAACAGTGCAGACCATGATTGAATAACACCGATTCAGAGACTGATTGCCATTTGTATTGGTTGTATAGATGGATTCAGCTGCAGCTTGAAGAAGGATAAGTGTTAAACTTGTGACTGGGAACGTGTTGGAGGCTGTGTTCTGTGAATATCGCACCTTGCCTTGTTGCTCTTTGTTTTCAGGTGTTTTTCTTTGGACTGTGCAAAGCATAGAAAGTCTATAACACAAATGCAGCAGGGTAAATGTGAGAATTAAAACCAAATTTGATACAATTTCATCCGCAGCAGAACACCAATTAGCCAGAAAGATGAAGCAATATATGAAGTCATCTGACCAATAATTCTGTAATGTTTACATTGAAAATTACTAAAGAAATTAAGAGAGTAAATTATTCCGATCATTAAAAAAACCTTTCTGACAATTTGTTTCTTTTGTGAACAAATAAATCAAATGTCTCTAGTTAATTGTTTGTAGAACATAGAAAAAGGTTTCATACTACAGAAAAGTTAACGGGATTAATTTCATTTAGTTCATTATTAAACTTTTTTCTTGTTTCTCACATTTACCCCTATAGTGACTTGCCCCGATCTTTTTTGTATCGATCAAAAGAGATATTATTTCAAAACAATTCTTATAAGAGGCATACCCTAGATCTATTTTAAAACATTTTTTACAAAAGGCTTGCACTAGAGCTGTTTTAAAAAATTTCTTACAAGAGGCATGCCCGGGGCAGATCTATTTTAAAACATATCTTACAAGAGGCATGCCCCAGATCTATTTTAAAACATATCTTACAAGAGGCATGCCCCAGATCTATTTTAAAACATATCTTACAAGAGGCATGCCCCAGATTTATTTTAAAACATATCTTACAAGAGGCATGCCCGGGGCAGATCTATTTTAAAACATGTCTTACAAGAGGCATGCCCCAGATTTATTTTAAAACATGTCTTACAAGAGGCATGCCCCAGATTTATTTTAAAACATGTCTTACAAGAGGCATGCCCCAGATTTATTTTAAAACATGTCTTACAAGAGGCATGCCCCAGATTTATTTTAAAACATATCTTACAAGAGGCATGCCCGGGGCAGATCTATTTTAAAACATGTCTTACAAGAGGCATGCCCCAGATTTATTTTAAAACATATCTTACAAGAGGCATGCCCCAGATCTATTTTAAAACATATCTTACAAGAGGCATGCCCCAGATCTATTTTAAAACATATCTTACAAGAGGCATGCCCCAGATCTATTTTAAAACATATCTTACAAGAGGCATGCCCCAGATCTATTTTAAAACATATCTTACAAGAGGCATGCCCCAGATCTATTTTATCTTACATTGGATGCATGCCACTGTTCAATTTTAAGACATGTCTTTGACTGTGCCAGATTTATTTTAAGACAAACACATACACATATATTAGGCAAAAATCTCAAAAGAGGCCTGCCTCAGGTCTATTTAAAAATGCATGTCACAAAAAGGCACACCATATAATCTATAAATAAGACTTCTAGGAAGACGCATGTCTCCATCTTAAACTACAGGAAAAAAATGTTCATTCTATACAAATTTCTTCTTTCAAAACGGAAACATTAACAAAATACTTCTTTTCATGGACCATTCTTATAAATGTGAACTGAGAATAATGGAAGAAATTCTCTTGTTTTTATAATCGGGGCACCTTCTGGCAGAACTTCTAAAATTGTATTATATTCATTACTTCATTAATTTGCCAAGCTGCAAATTTTCTCTGGTTTGTATACAATGTAATACATTAGACGGTTAAATACATTTGTACCAATCAGCGAGGTGATGGATTATGTTGTATGGATGATAATTGATTTAAGTACATTCAATAATCGTTGTACACCTGAGCCCAATGATTATTATCTAACTTTTTTCCGTGTGGGCTGGTTCTCTAATATTTTAACCCTTAACCTGTAAAAAGTTATTAATCTTCACTAAAAGTATAGAACCAGGCTAGCCTGCAAAATCAAGCCGTCCGGTTAGCTCAATAGGTAAGAGCGTTGGACTTTGAATCGGGGAACCCGGATTCGATCGATTCTTGGACGGTGCAGGTCACTTTCATTGTGATTGATCATGAAATCCTTTCTACGGTCATTCGCACTGTACCTCTGCTCTGGCATGTACAGAAGTTATCAGTTCCTTGCGAAAGTGAAGGCAACTAGTACTGGTAAACTGCTTGACAGCCTGCCCAGGAAAGATGTGGTGGTTGAACTGTGCTCTGGTGAATTCAATGTGGCTTACTGTCGTGATCTGGAGTGAAAACTACCAACACCACCACCTGCAAAAACATGCAGACTGTCTATACTTGATACTGTTGGTAGCGTCTGTTTCAAAAAAAAAAAATTGAGCTATGATGATCGCTATGTCACTATTGTCATGGAAAAAACTTTAAATGTAGCCCAATATTCAAACATTCTAATAAGGTTTTAGCATGAAATTTGAAACACTTGCTTATCATGTCAAGATGCAGTTGTAAAACAAAATTTTGAAACCTATATCTTCAGAGTTATGCCCCTTTGTCAAAAATTGCTTGTTAAGTAGAATGATTGCAAAACTATAAAAGGTATCAACATGAAACTTGGAATACTTGATTATTATAACAATTCAATACAACAATACAAATAACTTTATAACATTGTTACAATGTTGATAGCAAAATTCACAGCTTCAAGACAAGGGACAAATTCACAGCTTCAAGACAAGGGACATTATCCTGAAAACAATAATTAAGGAGTTATTTCCCTTTCCTTTTTACAATATTTTTAAAAATTGGTTATTGATACTGAGTTGTTGCCCTTTACAGAAAAACATCACATGAGGTGCTTTGGGATATAGAAATCCCTTAAACTTTGAATGGAATGTTCTGAACTCAACAAAACATAGCAACTCTTTTACAACAATTCAGCATAAAATTGAAGTGTGAAAGGTAGTACATGTATATTTTTTTTTTAAATTAAAATGTCCAAGCTGCATTGAATTCAATAAAAGCTGTCTCATTCTTTTTTTTTACAAGTTGTGTCACGGTATATTGTATATCAATATACAATGTATCTTAAACATATAAATATATACTATTTAAGGTTGTGAAGACAGTTTGGATAAAAAAGACAACAACAACAGCAAGTAAGTTTGTTTGCTGATAACTGATGATGCAATATGTATATTTAAAGAACAATATCACATTAAAGAAATACCCTTGATAGTTAAAGGGTGTTAAACTATATCCAATGAAACATTTTGTTATTGACAGTAAAAATATGTTGTTTTAGAGTCAAATTTTAAAAGAGTTGTAAGGTACATGTATTTTGGAATTCTTTTCCAAAATTAAAAATTTTGTAAATTACAGGCAGCAGCTATAAGCTTTATACACTGTGCAAGTCACTTCACTCTGTCATGTTTGTACATGGAATATTACAGTGACATAAATGAGCCGCGTCACGACAAAACCAACATAATGCATTTGCGACCAGCATGGATCCAGACCAGCCTGCGCATCCGCGCAGTCTGATCAGGATCCATGCTGTTCGCTGTCAGTTTCGGTACTTGTGATAGGGTTATAAGCGAACAGCATGGATCCTGATCAGCGCAGGCTTATCTGGATCCATGCTGGTCGCAAACCCATTATGTTGGTTTTGTCGTGACAAGGCTCAAATGGTCTTTGATTTGCAAGAAGGGTCACATTAAAAAGCTCATGTTTATGGTTTTCAAGTGTATCAAATGCCTAATTTTGGAGCAAATAATATAATGTTATATCATTTTGTACAATGTCATGCCAATGGTTACCTGTTTCCAAGCTGAATATCTGAAATGGACTTGTCCATCTTTCAAACTGGACAAAACCATTCATTATTGATAGGGAAAATTTAGAAATAATAGCAAATAGTGCAGACCATGGGCAGACGGCACAGATGTACCTGCTGAACTTGATCTGCGCTGGCCATGTGAGGAAAATCTTTTGCAGCAAGCAAGCTAGTCATGCATTTAAAATCAACAACTTGTGTTAATTTACTTGTTCAAACAATTTAGTCATCTTCATCAAATGTAGACATCTTTTATTTAATGTAGTCATATTTCAGTTAATTTAGTCATTTTTCAGGTAGTCATCTTTTACTTGATGTAGTCATATTTAAATTGATGTAGTCGCTTGATGTAGTCACCTGTCAGTTAATGTAGTCATATTTAAATTAATGTAGTCATCTTTCAGATAATATAGTCATCTATAAATTTCTTAAGTTTTCTTTTAATTAATCTTTTAAATTAAAGTAGTTATCTTTTAATTATGTAGTAATCCTTCTATATAGTCATTTTTCAGGTAGTCATATTTCAGTTAATGTAGTCATTTTTAAATTAATTTTGTCACCTTTCAGATGATATATTCGTCTATACAGTTGGTATGACGTAATATAATCCCCCAAATAAACTAGACTTACCTTGAGTCGACGTTTGGTTGGGATTCTATGTAGTCATACAGCAACTGGAGGGATCAAATGAGATGTGCGCATACCGTGACCGAGAACATTCAGTATTTAAAGCATTAAGCAAAATAATTTTTGCTTCAATAAAATAAAAAACTAAATGCAAAATGCATAAAAGAATGTGTCACACACATTCAGGGAGGGATGGGCGGGCATTTGATCCCTCCAGTTGCTGTATGACTACATAGAATCCCAACCAAACGTCGACTCAAGGTAAGTCTAGTTTATTTGGGGGATTCTATTACGTCATACCAACTGTCCGTCTCAAATGAGACTTTAAAGCAAATAGCAAAAATTTTTTGCATGAACGGAAAAAATAAACATTCACATACCAACACGATTCATTCCGTCAATCCTGTGAACACTGCAGTTTCGTAAAGACTATCTTTAATAGGTTTATCGTAGTATTTTGCAAAAGTTGCTTCATTTGACCAACCTGCTACTTTCATGATTTCTTTAATTGGAATTCCAAAACATTTAGCTTTTGATACAGATGCTCCTCTTATACTATGAGATTGAAATCTTTTAATGTCAATGCCTGATAAAAACATAACTGATTTTAGCCATCTACTTATAGTTGTAGAAGTAACAGCTTTATGTGGTTTCATATAACTGACAAAAAGTCTTGACTCACTTCCTCGAATATGTTTAGTCCTGTTTATGTATTCAAGAAAAACACTATACACACATAACCTCCTATCTGGAGTATATTTTTTCAATTGAAGAACTGGATTATCTCTGCCTTTCTTAGACTGTTTTAATAACCCGCAATATTGTACAGTAATTGAATCCTGATCTTGCCTTAGACCATCAATAGTTATTAAACTTAATGAATGAGACCGACTTGCTTGAGTCAGAGCTATTAACATAGCTAACTTCCAAGTTAGCTGTTTCAAAGACAACCTATCTACTGGTGACAATGTCTTTAAATAACACAGTACCTTTGAAACATCCCAAGTTTCATTATATTTACTTTTTGGTGGACATAAATTAAACACACCTGTCATAAATTTAACCACTAAAGGATGAGCACCTGCTGTAAAACCATCTTCAGTAATACATAATGAAGATAATGCACTTCTAGCTGTATTTAGGCTATCATACTTGTAACCAGAATGGAATAAATCTGTCAAAAAACTTATAATATTGTCTACAGTAACTTGAAATTTATCAATTTTCCTTTTACTACAGAATTCCACCCATTTGTGGATATACGATGAATATTGTTTTTTGGTGGAATGTCTCCACGATGCCATGATGATGTCGGTAGACTCTGATGAAATCTGTCTACTTTGGAACAATTCCCTGACAAACGACATACCATTAAGTGTAGATGACCTACTAGTGGATGAACTTTCTTTGTATTTGGCAGAATAAGTGTGTCTGTAGTCACTTTCAAAACATAAGGTACTTCTATTAACAACTGCATTACTGCTGGATACCAATACTGTGTTATCCAAAGAGGTGCCACCAGTATCATTTCCCCTTTGTCTTCTCTCAGTTTCTGTACTGTTCGACCAACTAAACTGAAAGGAGGAAATGCATAAATTAATACATCTGACCAACACAAAGAAAAAGCATTAATTGCCTCCGCTTCTGGATCAGGTTTCCAGGAAACAAACCGATCAACTTGTTTATTCAATCTAGAGGCAAACATGTCAATTATTGGCACTTCAAATAATTTCACAATTTGTTTAAAAATATTTTTGTTAAGTTGCCATTCAACATTTTCATTGAAATTTCTACTTTGAAAATCTGCCTCATTGCTAATACCAGGAATGTGTGTAGCAGAAAGCCATATATTTTTCTTTAAACACCAAAGCCATATTTCTTTGGCATATTTATTACAAAGTTCAGATTTTATACCACCTTTATTCGTGATATAAGAAACAACACAAGTATTATCTGTATAAATTTTTTACATGAATGTCTTTTTTGTGCAAACAAAAAGATTTGACAGCATGGCAAACTGCTAACAATTCGAGAACATTAATATGAAAAACAGATTCTAGACAGGTCCATCTACCTCCTATTTTTGTTCCATTACAAATACCTGCCCAGCCAACTAAACTTGCATCCGTTGTAATAGTCAAATCTGGATTGTCATGACTAATATGTCTTTTTTCGGTGGCTAGATTGTCATCCACCACTTAAGTTCTCCCTTCATTTCATCTGATATAGTCATATATGCATTGTAATTCCCTTTATTTTGCTTTAATGCCAAAATTTTTTCATTCTCAATTTGTCTATAAAACAAAGGACCATTTTCTACAGCTGAAAAGGTAGAAATCATAAGGCCTATAACCCTCGCAACTTGCTGAATTTTTTCCTTTTTCTGTCTATACAACACTTTGCATTCTTGGACAACTGTTTGAACTTTATCTAATGGTAAAGTAACAATCATATTGATGGAATCAATATCATTTCCCAAAAATGTAATTTTATTAGTTGGGATAAGAATAGATTTCTGGGGATGAACAATAAACCCTAATTTCCCCATCAAATTAACTGTATCTGTAATATTCAGATGACATTCATCACATGTATCTCCAAGAAGCAGAGAATCATCAATAAACCCTGAATTAACATGTCCAAGCATGCGAAGTGATGCATAAACTGGCTTCATCAACTTTGTAAAAATTCTTGGGGCACAAGAAATACCATAAGGCAGGCATACATATTGAAAAATTTTCCCATCTTTTTGAAATCTTAACTTAACTTGTTGTTCCGTAGCTATGGGAACTGAATAATATGCATGTCTTAAGTCTACACTTGCAAAGAAACAATTAGGTTTTACCAGTTTAAGGGCAGACTCAAATGTCTCCATTTTAAAATGATGATAAACAATACTCTCATTTAATAATTATAAGATTTAATATCATTCAAAACTCGTCATTCTTCTTTTTCACTAAGAAAACTGGAGAAATAAATTCATTTTAATGATGATCAACTTTTAAATTAATAAAAACTTTCTAATCAAACATTTTATTTATTTCTTGATCAATATTTTCACCTTTATTTTCACTGAAATTATTTCTTGTGCATACGTAATTGTTAGGATCATGCCCTTCTTAAAATATGACCATGCTTAACTGTGTCTAATATATTTTCATCACTTGTCAATTGTCTCCAATGTTCTTCAAATAATTTCAATCTACCTGCCTGAAAAATATTACTAACCTGATTTACTTGTTCTTGTTCCCCGCACGGGAGTTTTTTGGTGGTGGAACGACTGAAGAACCATGACCTGGCCTAAAATAACCTCTGCCAGTACCACGAGAAAACATGCCTGGCCGACCACTACGTCTTCTACCAAATGGCCTAAATGAAGGATTTCTTCCAACATCTCTACCAATTTTACTTATGTCCTGGATATCCTTCACACTTTTGTTAATATCATCACCATACAGGTTTTCTGTAAACGGTAGGCTTGCAGAAGTCAAAGGGTAATATTGTGGATCTAAATCCGAACGATGGCATTCCTTCCTCTTGTTGTTAATGAGTTTGTTAGACTGCCCCAACAAAGCAAGGGCATTTGTGCCCCATTCAATTGACTGGGTATCTAATTTTTCCCCTTCTTTATCCAACAATTTGGAAATGTTTATAGCAGCCTTCACAACAACATTTTGTATGGCTTGAAATTT